GGGCCTTCCTGGAGGGCGTCTTGGAGGGCTCTTGGGCCGTCTTGGAGGCCTTTTGCCGGCCTTTTGGGCCGTCTGAGACCATCTTGAGGCCATCTTGGGCCGTCTTGGGTGCATCTTGGAGCCATCTTGCCCGTCTTGGAGGCCATCTTGGCCGTCTTGGAGGCATCTTGGGGGCCATCTCGGGCCATCTTGGCCGTCTTGGAGGCCATCTTGGGCGTCTTGGAGGCCTCTTGGGCCGTCTTGAGGCCCTTTGGGGGCCTTCTTGGGGGCCTCTTGGGCCGTCATGGGGCCATCTTGGAGGCCTCTTGGGTGCTGTTGGGGCGATGTTGGGGACCTCTTGGGCCGTCTTGGGCCGTCGGAGAGCCGAAAAGAAGAACATGCCAAAATCCTTGAAAAACCTAAGGAACATCAATGATTTTAACCTATTCGGGCCTTCCTGGAGGGCGTCTTGGAGGGCTCTTGGGCCGTCTTGGAGGCCTTTTGCGGGTCTTTTGGGCCGTCTTAGACCATCTTGAGGCCATCTTGGGCCGTCTTGGGTGCATCTTGGAGCCATCTTACCCGTCTTGGAGGCCATCTTGGCCGTCTTGGAAGCATCTTGGAGGCCATCTTGGGCCATCTTGGCCGTCTTGGAGGCCATCTTGGGCCAAGTTGGGGCAACAAAGGCATTGACAGATGGATTTTCGGAAACTTGCGGGTGGCCGGCGGGACGGGCCGAAGCCCATTGGGGAGTTCTTTTAGAAAAAGAACCAAAACCAAAACCTGAAACATCCAGCACGCCGTGCACCCCTGTGGCAAGACCACAGGGGGCGGCGGATCCTAGTGGCCTTCGGCCCATCCCGCCACCGTGTCTGGGTTGTGGGTCTTCGGTCTCTTGTATATGTGTTGGGGTGTCGTGGGGAGCATCTCGGGGGCCTCTTGGAGGCGGTTTCGGCTTCTCTTGGGGGCCTCTTGGCCTCTTGGGGCCTCGTGGAGTATCTTTTGGGCCTCTTGGAGGCCTCTTTGGCGTGTCTTAGGCACCTCTTGGGGCCTCTTGGGGCCTCCTGGGGGCTTCTCGGGGCTTCTCAGAACGCTTCTTTGGCAATTCTGGAGCCCTCTCGGGCCGTCTTGGGGCCCTCTTGGAGGCGTCTTGGGGCGTTCCTGGGAGCTTCTTGAGCCATCTTGGAGCGTCGGAAAGCCGAAAATGCGAGAACCCCAAACTCCTTCAAACACCTATGTAAAGTCGGTGAGATTGGCCTCTCGGGGCTCTCTCGGGAGGCCTCTTGGAGCGCTCTTGGGGCAGCTTGGGGCCCTCTTCGGCCGTCTTGGGATCATCTTCTGGCGCCTTGGAGCATCCTTGGCCTCGGCAGTACGAATATGGCCCAATTTGCAAGGGTTCATGGCCACGTGGATGCGAATATTGAATCATGTATAAGGGCTTGTTGCAATAATTGAGCGGTTGCGAGGGTTTGTGGCCTCGGGGGCGCAACTACTGCGTAATTCACAAGAGGGTTCAGGCTTCGGGGACGTGACTTTTCAGCAATTTGCAAGGGTCTGTGGCCTCGGGGACGCGAATAATTTTTAATTCGGTTCTGGTTTCGGGGACGCGAATACTGTGTGATTTACAAGGGCTTGTTGCTCTGGGGACGCAACCTTTAAATAATTAGCGCGGATGTGTTGCCTCCGGGGCGCAAGAAGCGTGCACTTTGCGAGGGTTCATGGCCTCGGGGGCGTGAATACGGTGTAATTTAACAGGGCTTGTGGCCTCGGGGACGCGCGAATGATATAACTTGAAAGGGTTATTGGCCTCGGAGACGCGAACATCGTGTAAATTACGAGGGATCGTTGCCTCGGGGGCGCAACTGTGGCGTAATCTAAAATGGATCGTGGCCCCAGAGGCGCGAACGTAGCGTAATTTACGGGAGATCGTGGCTTCGGGGGCGCGCATATGGCGTATTTTGTGCGGGATCGTGGCTTCAGGGGCGCAAGCGCGAGGCAATTTACGAGTGATCGTGGCCTCGGGGACGCGAGCGTGGCGCAATTTACAAGGAGTGGCCTCGGGGGCGTGGGTGTCGTGTAATTTGCGGGATCGTGACCCCAGAGGCGCGAATGTAGTGTAATTTGCTGGAGATCGTTGCTTCGGGGGCGCGAGTATAGTATATCTTAAGAGGGATCGTGGCTTCAGGGACGCGGAAGTGGCGCAATTTATAAGGGATCGTGGCCTCGGAGATGCGAGCACAAAGTAATTTACGATGGGGTTCTTGCGTCGGGAGCGCGAACCTCATGTATTTTTTACATGTCCCACGGCCCCGCAGGAATTCAGAGCAGCCGATTCTGGGGTGGTAACCTGACGCTTTTCGGCTCCCCCCCCCTCGCGCGGATTTCAACAATATTCAACACGAAGCAGAACACAGGATTTTAACATTGGATAGTGGGAACTGGAGCTGGTGCAGGGCACTGACACCTGATCCTTGCAGCCTGATGGCCCCACAAGAGGGTCGGCGGATTATCATTGTTGTTGTTATTCTCCTTCTTCTTCTTCTTCTTCTTTTTTTTTTCCTTATTATTATTATTATCATAAGTATCATTGTTAGCATTATTATCATTGTTATCATTATTAGTATGATGACGGTTACGGTGGCGATGATTGTGGTGATGGTGATGGTCATTGTGATGATGGCGATGGCGATGATGATGATGCTGATGATGATGATGATGATGATGATGCTGCTGAGGAAGAAGAAGAAGCCACCGTACCGAGTGGACAACATAATTGTGCTGCCTTGTGGAAGTTTTACCGACTCGAACAGACGCCGTCGGGGTCCATCTCTTCCATGAGCGACCGTATCCAGCTATTACATGGGACCGTTACGCCGACGTTTCTGCGTGTGAAGCGTGGACATCAACGCAGGATCTCAAACACAACCCGCAAAACTCAACGTCGCAGGCTCCGACAGATAATTGAGACGCCGCGGAGAAAGACGAAGCACACTGCCGAAATGGAGCTACCCAGCGAACGTACCACTGGCAACGTCAGCGGCACTATTGAGGACGACGGTGCTGCCGGCAGCCCTGACAGCGGAATGGATGTAGACAGCGCGCCGCCTCCCCCAATCTTTGGTGCGGGTGTCGACCAGGAAGAAGACGCATTCGAACCCTGGGCGCAGCGGGTCCGACGTTCTACACAACAGGCCACAGCTGCAATGTCAAGGCTGGATATACCGGACTGGCCCACAGCTGTCAGGGAACAGTGATGGGAATCTATTCGGACGGTCGTCCCCAGCAGTATGAAGGAATGGGCACGCCTGCATTACAATGGGAACCATGTCGTCATGCAGTTGTGCAGACAACGACGGGTGGGACGCCCTAACATTAAATGGTCAGAAGATCTTTTACAATACTTACAGAAGTACGTCCCAGACGACCTCAGGTGGGCCGCAGGTCTATTGTCTTGTGGCCTTCGGCCCATCCCGCAACCGTGTCTGACTGTGGGTCATAGGCCTCTGGGATGTTCGTTGGGATGTCGCGGGAGGCCTCTCGGGGGCTTCTTGGGGGCCGTGTTGGGGCCTCGTGGGAGTAGTTTTGGGGCTTCTGGGAGCGTCTTCGGGGCCTCTTGGGGGTCTCTTGAGGCCTCTTGGTGGCCTCTTGGGGCCTCCTTGAGGCTTCCTGGGGGCCTCATAGGGCGGAAGACTCGGATTTGCCGTTAGTGCTTCCCCTCGTGGGCCCTTCTTGGGGCTGTCTTTGGGCCCTCTAAGCGCCCTCTTGGGCCGTCTTGGGGCCCTCTTGGAGGCCTCTTTGGCCGTCTGGAGGCGGTCTTGGTGGCCTCTTGGGCCGTCTTGGAGCGTCGGGGCGACGAAAAGGCGAGAAAGCGAACATCTGTCAAATACCAAGGGGAAGTCAATAGTTTCGGACTCTCGTGGCCCCCTTGGGAGTGCTCGTGGAGGCCTCTTGGGACGCATTGGAGGCATCTTGGGCTATCTTCGGGCCGTCTTGAGAATCTTGCGCCGGTCGTTCGGCGACTCGGGGCTCTCTTGGACAGTCTTCGGGGCCTCCTGGAGCCCTCTTGGCCCGTCTTGGGCCCTCTTGGCTCCGACAAAGTCACGCGACAGGCCGCGAGAAGCCCCAGGGGGGCACGCGGGAAGCCCGAGGAGATTTGGCAATTTAGGCTCCAGGCCCCCGAAAGACTCCTCAGCGGTGCTCAGGAGATTAGGCAAGGGACCTGGGGACGCGCCCTCTCCGTACCCAGCGGCACGGTGGCGGATTGATGAGGACAGTGATGGTGATGATGATGGTGATGATGATGATGATGATGATGATGATGATGATGATGATGGTGGTGGTGGTGCTGATGATGATGATGACGATGATGATGATGATGCTGATGCTGATGCTGATGATGATGATGCTGATGATGATGACGATGATGCTGCTGATGCTGCTGATGCTGCTGCTGCTGCTGCTGATGATGATGATGATGCTGATGCTGATGCTGATGATGGTGATTATGATGCTGCTGCTGATGATGATGATGATGATGACGATGATGCTGCTGATGCTGCTGATGCTGCTGCTGCTGATGATGATGATGATGATGATGCTGCTGATGCTGATGCTGATGATGGCGATGTTGTTCGGTCGAGGAGAAGTCGCATGGTGGGGACTACGGGGTGACCAGGGGGTCACCGTGGAGCTCCAGCGGCCGCCGGACATCGGCCACGCGCAGACAGTGGTGGGGGGAGTGGGAGGGTTTCTCAAAAGCACCCCTGCCTTTTAGAAGGTGCGGGCCTTATCTGAAAATGTATGGCCAGCGCCTTCTAAGAAGCAGTCTCTTTCTAAGAAGCCTTCCCCCTTCCCCCTGCTTGGATCGGCGCCCTGGTTTGGGCGGTTTTGACTTGCTTGTGCAAATTTTGAGCTGCATGCAGTGAAGATGTAAGCTCCTTGCATATACTTCTGACTGTAATATCTCCTTTCGAACCCCCTCAGTTGTCCAAGTATCCCCTACCCCCTTGTGCGCGCCGCCAAAGATGGAGCACGACCCCGACGTGCCCCACACCGGGGCCGCCAACGCCTCGTTCAAGCACTACAGCAGGGGCTTCCCCGGTGGCGCGCCCGCCGGCCCGCGGTGCCTTGGACGGCGGCGGCAGCGGCGACGACTTCGGCGTCGGCTGCGACGACGGCGACGAGCGCGGCGAACACGGCGAGGCCGGCGAGGACTGCGAGGACGACGACGAGGACGACGACGGCGAAGACGACGACAATGAGGAGGAGGAGGAGGACGACGACGAGCACGGCGAGGACGGCGAGGGCGGCGAGGGCGGCGAGGGCGGCGGGGGCGGCGAGGACGGCGAGGGAGGCGAGCACGGCAAGGCCGTTTCGTGGCCCCGTGGGGAGCTACACCTCAGGTCTCAGTGGCTGCGTTCGCATGCCGCCACCCCTCGCAAGTGTCGTGGCCTCACAAAAAACTGCACCAATAATCTCTAATAACTACATTCGCATGCCCCCTCCCCCTCACTTTGGTACCATTTCACACGCTTCGTGGCCCCATAGGAAGCTCCACCGAAGGCCTCAGTGGCGGCGTTCGCATGCCTCCCTCCTCACTTTAGCACCCCCTCGCACGTTTCGTGGCCGCATAGGGAGCTCCACCGAAGGCCTCAGTGGCGGCTTTCGCATGCCGCCACTCCGCTCACTTTGGCACAACCCTCATTCGTTCCGTGGCCCCATCGGTAGCTACACCTAAGGACCCAGTGGCTACGTTCACATGTCTCCCCAGGCCCGGCGAGGGCCTCTAGAGGCTGAAAGTTATGAAAAACCTCCGTCGGGTTTTTTTTTTGCCCCATACACGTAGGTCTGGCCCCTCGGCCCTCGACCACTGATCTTCGATTGACGGCGGCGGCGCCGAGGTGAGCGACGGAAAAAACGGGTTCCATTGCGCCGACATTGGCGCGTAAGCTGCCCGCGCAAGGTCGCGCGTGAGCGCTCTCGTCTCTAATGTAGCGTGCCGCGCTGGCGGCCCGCGTAAGCTGCGGCGTGAGGTCGCCGCGCCATCTCGCGTGAGACTCATTTTTCTTATCGTCGCTCAGGTGGCAAGCCCACCTACCGGCTCAAGAAGGCGCCCGGCGACGAGCTGCTGAGCAGCCCTGCGCCGCCCGAGTACAAGAGGGTGAGGAGCGCTCCGGGGGTGCACCCGGGCGCCTTCTCTAGAGGGAGACGCGTCGTGGGGAGCGATAAGGGGGGGGGGGGGGCAGTGAGGCCTGCAGAACAGGGACCCCTTAGAGCCCCTGAGGGGGTCCTTTAGTGCCCCAGAGGGGGCCTTCCCTGAGATCCGACGTTGACAACAAAAATCAGCATCACGGCAAATCACGACTGGAGCCCCAGACCCCATCTTTCTGCGTCATTTTCCGAGCGGGCTCAATATGAGAGGGTCCCAGGGCCCGAAATTGAGCGAAAACGCCCGTGGCGAAAAAATTGCAACGCCAAGATCTCATGGCTTGGGGCCAGAAAGTGCACCCTTTTCCTCCCCCTCAGTTATCGCCCCCTCCCCACGAAGCGCCGCCAAGCCCTCGGCGCGACCCCGCTCCCTCCTCCGCTCTCCCTCACTCCTGGCTGGGCTTCCTCCTCAGAGGAGGGCGGGCATCAATGAGTCGTGCGGGCATCAGTGAGTCGTTCCCTCTCTCGATCGCTCGCTCGATCGCCCAGGCTGCGCGGCAGGCTGTCGACCTCCCGTTTGGAGGTAGTTCTATCCCTCGTCGTCGAGCGGCTAGGTAAGGATTTGGCTCCTCAAGTACTCGAGGAGGCCCCTTACAGTCGACCCGCACAGTAAGGATGGGCAACCTTCCCAAGGGTACCCTTGCCCTCTCCTTTCCTCGCCCGCTCCTCCCCTTCCTCTCGTCGCCCTCCTCGTCCGCTTCCTCGTCCTCTTCCTCGTCCTCTTCCTCTTCCTCTTCCTCCTCGTCCTCCTCGTCCTCCTCGTCCTCTTCCTCGCCCTCCTCGTCCTCTTCCTCGTCCTCGTCCTCGTCCTCGTCCTCTTCCTCTTCCTCTTCCTCGTCCTCTTCCTCGTCCTTTCTCGCCCTCCTCGAGGACTCTCTTGAGGACGCTCCGCCTCTGAGGAGGACTGTGGCCGAGGCCGCGGTGCTCGGCCTTTGGGGGGGCCCCTCCCGGCCGCCGCGGCGGAAAAAAATCGCAGCTCTCGGCGAGCGGGTGCGCCAGAGCTCCCCCAGCAGCGGCCCGGGGGCCGAGCCGGAGCTCCTCCTCCCCTTCCTCCTCCTCCTCCTCCTCCTCCCTCCTCCTCCTCCTCCTCCTCTCCTCCTCCTCCTCCCCTCCTCCCTCCTCCTCTCTCCTCCCCTTCCTCTCCTCCTCCTCCTCCTACTCCTCCTCCTCTCCTCCCTCCTCCATCCTCCTCCTCCTCCTCCTCCTCCTTGTCCTTCTCCCCCTCCTCCTCCTCCTCCGCCTCCTCCTCCTCCTCATTGTCCTCCTCCCCATTGTCCTCGTCCCCATTGTCCTCCTCCTCCGCAGCTGCTCTGGCTCACCCCGCTCCGACCGTGGCCCCTGGCGACGACGACTACGATTACGACGACGACGACGACGGCGACGACGACGGCGACGACGTTGACGACAACGACGACGGCGACGACGGCGACGACGACGACGACGCTTGAGAGGCTCGCCCTGGGGGGTGGCGCTGCCGGACGCACGGCCCTCCGCCGCAGAGCTCCGCCGCCGCCCGCGCCATCTGGCCGGAGGTCCGAGGTCGTGAGCGGAAAGCGGGCGGGCGGTAATGGTCGGGGCTCAATAGACAGGGGTCAATGCTTTGCTCTCCTAGCTAGGAGAGCAGAGAATTGATCGGTGCTTGGGCGGTGTTTGGGGCCGGCGTGGCGCGGTGGCTTCCCGACACCATTGCGGGGCCTTCGCGATGACAAGCATTCCAACACCGTCGTGCCGTAGGTGGGGTGGTGTCGTCTCGTTTTTGGTCCACCCAGGGCTTCGCAGCGTCGTCCCCACCTTGCTTCTACATGTCCGAGCTCCGTAGCTGCCTGCTCGCCCTCCTGTGCTCAGCTGTGTTCTGGCTCTCGTGGACATTGCGCAGGCCTGACGAAAGCTTGAGAGGTCCCCTTCAATGTGTGGGTTGATGCAAACGGGTGTCAGTTAGAGCGCCGGATCGTGCAGGATCTTGCAGGATCCTGCAGGGCCAGGGGAGCCTCGACCCGGGCTCGGGTGCAAGATCCTGCAAGCGCCTGCAATGTTTTGCAGGATCTTGCAAGGCTTGACTGGGCCCCGGTCTGGACTGACCTGGGTCAGAAGATCCCCGACATGGGGGATGACCCAAAAGGGGGGGGTGAAGAGAAGGGCCCCAAAAGGGCCTTGTACCTCTTTTGGAGCCAGCCGGTGCCCAAAAGGTGCCCCAAAGGGCCCCTTCAGAGATTCTCTTCACTCCCCATGTGGGTCACCCCCGACTAAGACCCGCCCGAGGAAAACAGACCGCGGGGGCGCGGATGTGGACCCAGACCTGCGACGTCTTGGTTGTGTTCCAGCCGCGGCCCCCAGAAGTCCCGACCTCTTTTTTCCCCAGGGCGAGCTTCACATTCTGAGTTGTTTTTGCGGACGGTCCTGGGGCACAGCGAGGGCCCCTAGAGGCTAGAGGCCCCAAGCGACCAAGAACCTCCCGTCAATTTTTGCCCAGGGCGCGATCATGTCTCGGCCGCGCGCAAGGGGGGGTATGGGGGTATGGGGGGGGAGGGGTGAAGGCTTCTTAGAAGCACCCCTGCCTCTTTCTTAGAAGGGACGGGCCTCGTCTGTAGACGTAAGGCCGAGGCCTTCTAAGAAACAGCCTCCTCCTACGGACCCTCCCCCTCTTTCCCCCTTGTGCGCGCCGCCAAATGCAGGAGGGGGGAGGAGGAAACCGAAGAGGGAGGAAGCTTATGTGAGGATGAGGGTGATGATGATGATGCTGATGATGATGATGATGATGATGATGATGATGATGATGATGATGATGATGATGATGATGCTGATGATGCTGCTGCTGATGATGATGATGATGCTGATTATGATGATGATGATGATGCTGCTGCTGCTGCTGATGATGATGATGATGATGATGATGACGATGATGATGATGATGATGATGATGATGATGATGATGATGATGATGATGATGATGATGATGATGATGATGATGATGATGATGATGATGATGATGATGATGGTGGTGGTGGTGGTGTGGTGGTGGTGGTGGT